AGTGCGAGAGAAAAAGAACAACTATGCAGTTGGCACTGGCTCGCACTCCTCGGAAAGACCTTGAGAGAGCGTTGATGTTCACGTGTGTGTTGGTCGCGCCAGACGATAAAAAACGAGATGAAACTATTGGGACTAGTGACGAGTCGATCGCATCTTACAAACCGCGGCGGCGCGGCCACGGAAAATAGAAAAAGTGAAGAATTTCGACAGGGAGTGATTGTGGAGAAATGAAGAAGTGGAAAGGGTACTGCATGCAGAGGTTCTTTTTATGGCCAGCTGAGCAAAGCATTTGAATCTTTGACTTATTTTCCGATTAATCCTTTTTCTGGGAAGTTTTCAGTTGTTGAATGGCGGTTGATCAAATAAATTGCTAATTCAAATTGTTTGCTTAATTGGGTTTTGAGCTCTGATCCACCAGCCTGCCCTGCTTTCTGGATTAAGCAGTGCCATTAGAGAAAGAAAAATATTTTCTCTAAATACTGCTTCTTCAATTGCTTTCATTGGACGTTTTTTTTTTGTTCACAAAAGAAGTTCCCTCCCTTGACTTACTCTTTTTCTCCAGCGAGTAAAAGGTGGTTCTAAAACTTTGATCTTATGGTAGCGATTTTCATCTGGAACATTGTTCTGGGCGTTTTCTCATTACAGATTTTGAGGTTGAATGCAATATTTGGTGGCAGTCGAACAGTAATGGGTGTGGTATTTTTAAAATTAATGAGCCTTATTCTGCAGACCTCATTTACAATTGTAAGCAGTAGTTTGACCTGCGCTTATTGTGATTGCCAATTGAGCGGAGTGTTTGTTAAATTTTATGTCGGAATTTACCCATTATTCTTCATGATGAGAAGAATTCAGTAGTCTTCATGAGGTTAAGTGCTCCGAAAGCGTTTAAACAATCTCTTCCGGTTAGAAAATACACATTTGCCTAAGAACTGCTTTTTCCAAGACAGTTTATTTAGGTGAGAAGCGCGTACCTTATTCCAATCAATTCCATCACTTAGTTGGTCGAAAAGCTTTGACAACGCTAAAAATTCATCAAATGGTTTAGGCCAAATTAGAACTAGAGTTATATCGATTAATATTTAGAATTTGTTTATTATATCCTGCCTGCAGTTTTCCATTGAAATAGACTCAGCCTGTGTAATAACACAATCTTATTTTCATCTGTGTTATATTCTTTTTTCATTTCTTTTTTTCCGAATTTTTTTCTATGCTCTTCTTTTCTTTTCTGGTTGATTTCTGGGGTAGAGAGGGAACTGGTCAGTGAAGGATGGGGTGTGGATTTCTTGGAAAGGCGTTCTTTATAGCCCTTAGGGCGAAAGTAATAGATATTAAGGTCACAGGTGCATTGGGTGAAGGCGATTAACCTGGACTTGCTAAATAAGGAAAACGGTTGGGTTCAGTTTGTTTCTCTCTTGAATCGAGTAGTTATTTCCAATTTTACAAACTCTTTCATTGAATAAATGAAAAGATAATTTCATACCATAATTTATGAAACGCGACCGCCTGACAATTTTTCTGGTTGAATCAGCAATCTGGTCTATTAGTGACAGTTACTCTTTTGCATAATGTCTTTGTTTACTGTTTACCTTTGCAGTACTATCAAAAGAGCATTTCATTGAAAGACTTGATTGCCATTGCATTTCAAATTTGCATTTTCTAAAATTTATAGTCCATTCCCCATGTTGTTTTCGTGTTCTTTCCTTCTCTATGACATTATCTCATTGTTAACCTCTGGTTCTCCTGATAGAATGTTAACAAAAGGCTAGAAGGACATTAACGTTTGACTGATGAGCTCTCAATCTGGCGATTTTTGTTCGCTTTGAAAAGAATTTTTCCATTTTTG